AGATTTTCCTTTATAATACTGCAATTATGGAATTCATCAATCCATTCACCTACATTGGGAAATTTCTCTTTTGTGAATACTTGCAGTCCTGCCAATTCTTGGAGAATTCCAAACCAATATGCCACGAAATTGCCAGTGACATCGACCATTCCTATAGTCTCACCCGTCCTAAAGAACTTCTTGCCCGAAAGTGTACTCTCAAGAATTTTCAGGAGTTCAGTACATTCCTTCTTGAGCTTCTCTTGCTCCTCTCCTTTGCTCCAACATACTTTCCACATTGCATGCACACACTAAATGCAAATGATTTTTTTTTTTTTTTATTGGATGAGCGGGTGATACACACGTATATTGTTAAGGAATAAATTCCATGTCGACTAATTATCGAAATATAGATCACTATATAAAGATTTAAATTACATTTCTTAATAAGATTTACATTTTAAGATAGAAGTTCAAGTCATAATATCATATCATAGCCCATTAATCTCAAATGAGAAATTTGATCCGATTAAAATTAAAAAATAAGTACACAGATTTCAAGATTGACTGCTCAAGAGAGCCACCATCTTGTTGGGAGCATATTAAGCCCATATTTAACAATCATTAAAATGAGTTTTATGGGAAAAATGAATTTTGAAATAGTAATTTTTTGGAGAATGTGTACTTAAAAATGTAGAAAATAATTTTCAGTGTACGCGGAAAATATTTTGTCAATGTTTGGTCACCATTTTTTCAAAACTCATTTTCAACCACACAATCCCCTTTAAAATAATATTACACGTGAATCAAAATAATTTTCTTTTTATTTTAATTACACATTCTCCAAAAAAATACTATTCCAAAACTCATATTCTCCCAAATTTTCATTAAAATGGAGCCTAAACAAGGGTTTTATTGTGAGAATGTATAGTTGAAAATGAGTTTGAGAAAAAAAGAGTATTTTTTAATGGTTGTCAAACATGGGCTAAGTGATAAATCTCACGTAGACTAATTATCGAAATATAAATTAACATATAAGAGATTGAACAACTCCCTCAAGTAATGTTGACTTTTTAAAATAGAACCTCAAATTTTAATACGTGCAAGATATCGCGACATAAAAAAATGCTAGTTTAAAAGAGTGTCTCCTTTGTAATAGCTTAAAATTTAAACGATGGAGTTCTAAATGTATCTCATATTTAATAACTCATGCGTTTAGACAACAAACATACCTTCTCATCAAAGAACTTAGCCCATAAGCGAGCGGTGGCTCTTTCATAAGGATCTCCTGGCCAAATGGAAGGGCCTTCCCATGTTTCATCAATGTATTCAAGAATCACCAGAGACTCACAAATTGGCTTGTCATTGTGTACTAACACAGGAACTTTCTTGTGAACTAGGTTGTACTTTAACAGCAAAGGGGACTTCTTGTTGTGTACATCTTCGTCTATGAATTCGTATTCAACACCCTTGAGTTTCAACGCAACCTCGATTCTGTAGCTAAATGGGCTTGACCAACTACCATAAAGCTTCACTTCTGCCATTTTACTCTCCTTTGATTTTCAGTCTATACTTTGCTGTATTTCCATTCTCCAGGGTTGAGCCCAATATATAGAGGGAGCCTAACTTGTCTGCTAAGAATGAATGAATAAATTAACTTGTCCACTGGTAAATAATTATTTGTAAGTTGACCAAGTGATAGATACTGATTGGTTACCTAGTAGACCCCGTCAAAGTAGACGTATGGGGTGATCACAGCAACCTTTGTTTTTTCTAGCATTGAACAGACTAAAGAGTAATGAGGATGAGGAGACTAGGATGCAAGTTAGATTAGGTCATTCTCCTGGACTTGTTGAGGAGGAACAAGTTGAGAATGAGGTTGATGAGGAGAATGATGGTGTCACTGGTTTTCATGAACCTGTTGAAGGTGGTGAACATGACTTGGTAGGTGATGTAGTTGATCCTCTAAGTGATTATCAACTTGCTCGTGATAGAGCTATGAGAGAGATTTGGGAACCCGCTAGAATGGGTGATTATCAATCCTTTGTTGT